CATTAATGCTCTCACTATCCCCCAGGATTCACTGTTCTCGTAGTGCAGCAGCATCATTTCCCTAGACTTACCTTTATTTTCCTGTTCAGAAATGTAGACTAGGAAGATTTTAAGGCTCACGTTTCTCCATGGTCTCTGGATGTCTACTAGAATAAAAACTGCTGGCAGTACTAAGAACCACTGAAAAGTTTTCTAACATCTAGATATTCCAACTGTTACCAGAATCTCCATGCACGCTGGCACAGCTGGCTTTTTGGAAGTTCCCTTGCAGATCAGTTGTTGCATATTCTGATCTGTTGATCTACACATACTCAGTATACCCATTAATATCAAAAGAGTTGGATATACTCAGCATGACCAGAAGGACTGAGAAGAATAACTGCGCTGAAGGTACAGTGGGTTCCTCAGACTCTTGTGACATCTGCCATAATGCATAAGGACTGTTCTTATTCCATACAAAGTACCTAATCACTAGGGAAATCCTAAAAAATGGTATATTGCACCATATTTCAAAAGCCTGTTCACAAAATAACCTATAAGCTCTCAGTAAAAATCCAATATTGAGCTGTCTCTGCCTAAAACTTACCTGATATAGACAGATATAGGTAAGTGCCTCTAGCAGATAGCAAATGGCATTCCATGCCTGAAAGAGACTCCCACCTGCAGATCCAAGTCAGGCAGCCCATTTAACGTCTGAGACTCCATCACCTTTATCAGAGCATATAAAGAAATTCTAAATCCTAAGTGCACAGCTGTCTGTCATCTCCTCTCTGAGTCCTGCTGCCGTGACTCACTTCCCTGCAAGAGGAGCTACCAGTGCTTAGCTCTGCAGGGTGCTCAATCTCCTCCTTCCTTAGCCCACTCAGGCTTGGACTCAGTAACCTCATATGAAGGAGCTCAACCTTCCCAGAATTCACATTCTCTAAACTTACTCCCTAATTAAACCTAGATTCTCCATCCCATTCCTACAAACATCAACATTCATTTAGCAGTGTACGTCCAACTTGCTGCATGGAACTTACCGCTATGAACTAAGCAAGGGGCTTCAAGCTTCCAATAGTCTTATAAAAATCATTACAGTGATACTTCATAAATTACCATAGGTTTGCTTTATAAAAGGGGGAAACTCAAAGTTAGTTTAGAGCTGTGTTAAATGGTTCAGTTCAACCAAAGCAGACACTATACATCCAGATGCCCATCGCTATAACTTTCATTAGAAGGCATTTGGATCCCATGTTGAAGAAGAGCTTATGCTGGCACTTAAAACATTATTTTCTTCTTGTACAAACATTCAAATACTATATAAATAAACATTCTTTATTCTGTATTAAATGGTTCAGTTCAACCAAAGCAGACACTATACATCCAGATGCCCATCGCTATAACTTTCATTAGAAGGCATTTGGATCCCATGTTGAAGAAGAGCTTATGCTGGCACTTAAAACATTATTTTCTTCTTGTACAAACATTCAAATACTATATAAATAAACATTCTTTATTCCCATTAGATAACTGTCATGAACAGGTTCACAAACTGACTTAACTGCCTGCCTTTCTTGCTCCATTGTTTCCTGGTTGATTAAAACGAGCTTTTACAGGTTTTAGAATACACCAAGTAGTAAAGTTTGTTCCGCCTTTGTCATTCAACTTCAGAAAAACACAGCTCCTCATTTCCCACTGTCACTTCACAAAAACCTGATCACAACAGGTAAGTGAGAAGGATGAGGGAAATCCCATGACAGGCTGAGGGGCTGGTGCTGGACGGTTCAATGGGAAAAGGAACAGATTTCCCAAATGGTCAAGTGTTAAGAAGAAACCTCCCACTAGATGGCTCACAGGGTTCTTGCCATATAAATGAACTTAGGAATACCTGACCCAGCAACCATGGAAATGAGAACCTGTAATGAAAAACATCACTAGAAAATAACACTCAGAATTTGCCATAATCGCAGAGTCTTCTGCAGCCATGAACACTGAAAAACATCATGCTGGAATTCATACAGCTCAGAGTCCTGATGCCTACCGAGTGCTTTACCTTTCTAGGGTCATAAAAAAGAAGAGGAACGAACCACTAGCTAGGGCATAGTTGTGACTTCTAAGGTTTTTGTTTATATTGCTACACATTATATTTAATAATACATTCTGTTTTCAAAACTGTGTCATTTTATTTCCTTCATTTTGTTTTCAGAATGTCTTTTATTTGAAAGGTAGAGCTAAAGGATGTAAAAAAGGGCAGTGTTAAGAGACCTTCACGCAGCATTCTGCGCGCGCACACACACTCATTAAAGCCAGCATTATCTGATACCTCAAAAAAAGCACGTACACTTGTCCTAATTCAAATACATCATGAAAAATAAAAGCACAGTACATTTTATTTAAATTTGGCCAGTGCTATAGTTGACCATATATTTTATTCCTATGCAAATAATCTTCTCAATCTCCTTAAACTGCACTTGGAAAACCATGCTGTCATCAGCAAGAGTGGACTAAATCATGAGGAAACACAATTCTTGTGACTGCAGGATGCCCTGTGTGCATGTTGGGCTTTCACGTCTCTCTCGTGTCTTCTTTAATGGCACCAAAAGCCTAAAAGCACAGCAGTGCTCCATAAACACCACCACAACTTTCTATCATGTGATCCAAATGACAGAACCATTGTAGATTGCTGTATTATTTGACTACAAGAATGCAAGAATATTTACATAATCTGCGCTGCTCTTAATTACTGTAGCTGATTGCCACTGCAAGGTGACACTCCAGCACGTATATGAAATGTTAAAAGCTAATTATAACTTTGGTATTACAATCAACACGAACATGACAGTACAAGACCCTAACATTCACAATGAACATTTTCTCTCCCATTATTTACCACTTCTGTGAAAATACAGTAACTGATACAAAAATGCCCCAGGACCTAATGCCTTTTTTTTGTTGTTTTTTAATATATCATGTTTCACTGGGCATTTTGACTAGCAAAATTATTATTATTGTTAAAAAGTACACATCCCATTTAAATGTAAAATACTGCCTTCATTAAGAAACTCATTAGGAAATTAAATTATGCAAAGCATTATGAAATTAATTAACTGTATTTTGTGGGTCATCAGATAACTTTTCCATTTTGTCATTCAAAGAACTATTCTTAAAATTGGGGTGCTGTAATTAGTATGTCATTGACAGAAATAGTTCCTCAGACTACCAACATTCTACTAGATGATGATCTTGTACGGCAGGAGCAGAACTTTAATTCTCAAATATGGTTTGTGTAACCATCCTGTTGACCCTCCACACTGAATAAAAGGACAGGAACTGGTATCGACATCAGCAGCTAGAAAGTCTAACAACAAATCTACTGTGCCAATTTACACAGTAAATCAATTATTGATACAACCAAAAAACATAGAAAAGAACAAAAGTAGTTTTTCAGCCTCTTTAAGTTGCTCAAGATTAAGTACTTTAAAATATTAAAATTTGTTTGTACTGGGTGAATACTTGAGGTGAATGAAAAGTTCAAATACATGGAAGATCTAAATTTTGTAATATATTGATAATTTTATTCAGTACTGGTAAAAATTCGTTACGTGTTCTCAAGATGAAGTTTTATGGCTTTCCAGTTTCCAATTGAGCTACTTAAAATATATTTAATAAATTTGGTCTTATTAATAAAAACTGTAAAACATTCTACCCCAAGAACTTATTTCTCAAAAGCCTACTTTAAATAATTTTCTCCAAGAATGTGAGACAAGGACTTTACGTAGTCATCATATTCTTCATGTGATTTAAAGAGTTAAGCATTCAGGAAGGCTTGTCTTACAAAAGGATGTTGGTGTTAAAGTTTCAAGACCATTTAATAGCTGT